CTTCTAAGAATTAGAAAAAGATGAACAATCAGTTAAATCGATTTTCCAACAATGTAATTTTTTTACATTGTTGGAAATTAAGCTAAGCCCGTCCTTAATGAAAAGATATCTCTATTATTAAATTATTACTATAAATCTGAATTGATTCGATATTTTTTAATCACACAATTAATTCTGATGTAATATAGAGTATTACCGAAAAACTATTTATATTAATTTCGATATAAAAAAAAAATTCAATTACATTATATTAGTTTTTTGACATTTATTTTGCGAGTCTTCAAATATTAATAAAATTACTTGGATATTTTTTATCCTTTTTGCTTTACTTGCTTTCTAAATTTTTTAGGATGCATATTTTATTCTAAAGACGACGTATAATCTCTCTCTTTTCAAATTGAAAATTGAGCTACTCTTTTTCAAGATTAGCTCAATTTTTATTCTTCAGAATGAGATATTCCACTCCAAAAAGAATTTAGAGAGATAATTTATATAACATTTATCATTTTTTTATAGTACGTATACAGATCGAAATAATTAATTTGTATTTTCTAGAAACACGGGGTGTCGAATCGGAATTGTACATTTCACAGAATTCTCAGGAACCTCCATTGGTTTGTGGGATCGTTCACCCTCGGTGATTTTCGGCATGGCACTCCGTGCCGCGTCGCGTCGTGACGCACCGTGCTGGCGCGGTTGTTGAATCGGTTGAATGTCAGTCGCGTTTCATCCTGCGACCGCGTCGTGCGAGACATCCTTCTCGGCGAGTTTTGGCTCGCCGCGTTGCTCCGTGCCGGTCACGGCAGTCGGTGGTGTCAATCGCGTTCCGTTCGGTGTGCGCGTACGTTTCTTGTTTGTCGACCCGCGATCATATAATTCCGATCATTCATCCTTTTCCGCGGCGAGACTTTCGGCATCGAAAGATATGTCAATCGCGATCGGCGCATGTTCGTGGACGCGCGGTTGCGTCGTTCAACACGGCGCGAAACGTCGCGCAATGTGACGAGCGATCGGAGCGATGATCGTGGCGTGTCTCGCGAGTAACAACGTGATTACATTGACGATCGACGTGAGATTGCTCGACGAGGGACGCGCGTCACGATGGGCAGCGAGGTGGATGTGGAAGCTGCGAGCACCAACGCTGTGGATTCCGACGGTTCAGTCAGCTGGGAGGACTTTTTCGGCGAGTACTTTTATATTTCGTCTCTTTCAGATTTATATATACATTCGAAAGTGTATGTTTTATATGTGCACTCTAAAAAGTGCACAAAAAAAAAACTATCGATGTGAATTTAACATGCGATGTTTTACAATTCTCACCATGTTGCAGATGTTAATTTTTTCACGCAAGTGATACTAATCAAGTCTAAAGTTATGTATTTTAAAGACTTCCTCTTCAATTTTGATAAACACTGAATGTTGTTTTCTAGACAAAAGTAAGGGATACATATTTTTTTATGAGAGCCCCATTGCACTTTTAGGGAAACACCTCTTTGAAGAAATTCG